CCACAGCAAATGCTACCATGTGTCATATTGCTACATAAACCCTGGTATGTCAGATCTGAAAAACTGGTTCTCATTTTGCTCTAAACCAGCTAAAAAAACAGATCAATATCCTCTCAGCCAACATTTTTTTAGTTTTCTACGTGTTCACATAGCCAGTAAAGCAAAAAAGCAAAGTACATGAATTATATATTAACTAAACTAGATAAAACTTGGCATTTTCTTCAACTGGGCAATGATGATTTAAAAACTGATGCACACAATAATGTAACAAGATGCTTTCTGCCATGTCAACTGCATGTCACATCAGCACTGCATACAGTATAGTCTCTACTTAAAGCTAGGAGATGTTCCAAATGGTATAAAGTTACCAGTTGCTGATTTGCTGTTTTCATCTATTCTGTATTGGCTGACACTTCACAAAATCATGTGCTACCAAACTGGAAAACGTTTTACTATTTCTCTTTAAAAAAAAAAATATTTCAAAGGAAACATCACTGAATTTGGGAAAGTTTTACAGACTAAATTAAAGTCTGAACCAAGTTGATATCGACCTTCCAATTATGAAACTAGTTTTCATCTTGAAACCTTCCCTTTCTTAAGGGATGCCTCAAACTGACTTCATGGGATCATACACCTGTGTGTGTGAATATTTATTTGTAAAATGATCAATTTACTATATTTGAGAGTAAGGCTATTATAGACCTTGCTCCTGAAATTAGACATTCCTTTAGCAGTGGCTCAGTGAGAAGCTGTAGTGCTTCCATGCCATGGACCAGGAATGTCAAATTTGGAAGGTTGCTTACAAGTCTTGTGAAACCCCAATCAAATGCAGTCTGAACTCACTGCACAGACTGATAGTAGACTAAGTACCGTTTACTCCCAAGAGCATGAGGAAGCCAAGTGCAAGTTATCCCCTCAAGATGGACTTGACATGTTCCCTGCTGGCTGCTGAACTTGTTCACTGCATAATGCGGTTCCTTAGTAGAAGCAGCATCTGCAAAATTCAACCTTTTCCACAAAATCAGGGAGACAGGAATTTATTTTCCATTCTTTAGTCACTGTGTGACTCCAGAACTAGATTCTCCATTAGCCTTCCTGGACTAAAATCTGACTGATAGCCTGCAGTTATACTGGTCATCATGCTTGTGTGGATTTTGCTTATGTTTCTATACTGGCACATAGTATCATTCTTCTAGTGCCATGGAATCTCTCTTGCACTCCAGCATTTATCAAAAACAAGAATCTAGGCGGAGATACCAGCCTAGTTTTCCAGGACTCGAATGATTCAAAATGTATTTGCAGGTTATTTTTAACATATGCCAGCTATTAACAGACTGAAGTTAATTTATTATCCTTCAGTGAAACAAGTATTTCACTCTGCTTCACCTATAACAAGTATTTTTCCTTTTTTTACATCATTATTAAAAGTTCATCCATCTCCAACTAAGAATAAACCAGTAACATTCAGGTAACGTAAACCGTATCAATACTCCCATTCAACTTCACAAGTCTTGTAGCCGAGCAGACATGGTATCTGCCCATGACTTTCAGTTTCTCTAATTTGCCTGCACTTCATAACTAGTTGCCTTTCATTCTATGTTATTTGATTCTGCCTCGACAGTGACACAGGATATACTTTTACTATCATCTTCAAAAAGTCCTTCTTGTTCTTGCTTGTTATTGTTGTTTACACTTCCCTTTCCAGTTAGTTTTGGTCATACTTCCCTTCCTCTTCCTGAACACTCAAATATGTAATTTCACTGTATGGAAGTATCTTCTGGTTACACTGAATGTTAGAATATTATGGAGAAGATTGTCATTACGCAACACAAATTTCTAGATGAATTCATCACTAAGCTCCCATAAAGCTGCTCAAACCAAATGACCTTGTACTAGATGTAGTACATTTTATATTAGAAAATTATCATTTGCAAATTTCAGACTTAATTACATTTCACCATTTCCTGCATATCATCTACAGCACAAGCTTCCCATACAGTGGTATTTTTTCATATGCTTTTTATAGCCAAGTGCTCAAGAAGCAACGCACCTCATTCTCCGTTTGCAACAGACACCTATGAGTACTACCCTCTTGAGTAGACTGATTGATATGTATTCAAGATCCTCATATTAATTAACTTTAAGGCGGGTACCAGTGTCTTTTATGTTGCATACTGTCCTCCACCTCTTTTAGCCACTCTGTCCATGAGTAGGCTGTAAGCGCTGATTCCACATTCTCTTTAATTGTCCCTTGAGGTTTCAATAATATCAATTATATCTCATTTTTCCCCCTTAATGAGAATTTCCCATCTATCATGCTTGTCACTGGGACTTATCACTGATAAAAAGCCAATTGCAAATCTTGTTTTCAATTCTGTTGTAAGTTTAATTGGCTTCTACAACACTAACTTTAAATTGCATTTTTCTGCCTAGGACACTTTGCTTGGACTGACAGTTAAGCCCCTTCCTGGTTGCTACAGGCTCCAGCTAGGCAGATTCCCTGCTCTGTGTCCCTTCTTACAATCTGCCTTCCCATTGGACTTTGCCCTCATGTCCTGCACAAAGAAACCTGCAGATTCACTGTAGCCAAATCCAACAAATTCCTCTCCAGTATTTTGTTTTATGGATCTTCCTTTTCATTACATCTTTCTCAGCTTCCTGATTTCCTTTTTATTAACAGCTTCACTTAGGATGCCTGTTAACTTTACCATTTGGCACCACAAGCAGTACTAAATACCTACAGATTTCTGCTTTACTCCTCTACAAATAGTTGCCACTACTAGTCAGCTTACTTCATATTTATCAATGACTTTATACTTCCTGTCATGTTGAATGTCACCTGACTTTTTTTGGCTACAAACCACCAGAGCACTCTCCTGGATCCTACCTATTTCTTCTGTGGCATCAGTGGGAATGACTTCCCATTCTGACTGCTAAAAAGATACTGCATGTAAAAAATTTTCCATTTAGAAGCGAAAAGATTTAATGAGAAAAATGAACATGATTTTGTGGTTTGACAACTGAATTTTTCTTTTGCCTTTTAGCAGATTTTACCAGCAATGGAGGAGGGCAAATGGAGCAACAGGCAGGCAAGGTCTTAAATGCAGCTTATACCAATGGGAATTTTTTACTCTTGCTATGAAGTGCTATAAAAGTTTATATGAATGAAAAAAATCATATTAGAAGCAACTCAAGCCGTTCATCCAAACTTAATGGAAAATTCTGAAGTGCATGACTATACTTCTCTACCAGTGAAGTGAGTACAGTGATACAATACCAATACACTAATGTAATATTTACTAACTGAGGGTGCTGAGGCACTGGCACAGGGTGCCCAGAGCAGCTGTGGCTGCCCCATCCTTGGCAGTGTTCAAGGCCAGGTTGGATGAGGCTTTGAGCAACTTGGTCTAATGGAGAGTGTCGCTGCCCATAGCAAGGGGGTTGGAATGAGATGATCTTTAATGTCCCTTCCAACCCAAACCACTCTATGACTCTATAAAGGTACATCAGTGAACTGAAGAGAAAAATCATGGCAAAATAAGTAATTTTAGATAACAATTAAAGGTAGAGAGAAAGAAAATAAGCAATGCCTGAGTAATTTATTAAAGAAAAACATCTATTGTCTGCCATGTTGTTTTAGGTTTAAGCATGTGATTATTCTATTAGACTATCGTAACACATATGCAAAAGCTATCTGAATTGAGACAACATGACTCCCCAAGTCCTGGGGTAATCAACATAAGAACAATACTGTGAAATGGTGTTTTACATTTCATAAGGATTCTCTTTACTTGTTCTGAGCACAAGCCAAGCACCCCAGCTCCTTATGCCAAGATGGTCTGAAACCCACGTAATTCTTCAACAGGATCAGAACCTTCAGACCCAAAGTAGCAACCGCTACTATGTGAGCTACCGGAACACTTCTCCTTAGGAGCAATTTATCATCCTATTTAAGTACATGAGGCATTTACGGGGCTTTTTTTTTTTTTTTTAACAAGTGTTTGCTGACAGCATCGTTTGCTGATAAATTAAGAGGCACAGTGAAGAAGTCGTCTCAAAACTTCTAGTGAAAAGCAAGCTGTTCCACCAGTGACATACCTCCATTCTCACAAATGGCTACCTGGCTTTGTCTGAAACTGAAAACCAGCAAAGTCTAAAACCTACAGTCCAAAACACAACCAGTGAAGTTTCTGTCCAAATAGTTATCAACTAGATAGGTACAAGGAAGTGAAAATGTAATGTTAGAACCAAAAGGCTGGTCAGCATCCTGAATCAAAGGTGCTATTGGCCTAGTTTAGGGTTGTGATCATTTAACAGTAACTTCAGGTGTCAGCAGAGAGGTCACTGAAGTAAAATGCAACTTCTGGGGGGACTGTCTTCAAATCCACCGGAGATCATAGCAAAGAGAGCTTTTCAGGAATCACACCCCACACATTTAGCAGAGAATTTGGCAGTATTTAGCAAGATTTGGCAAATTCTGAGAAGTCCTGGGACTAAACAGCCCCTGTACAGCTAGTCACAACTAAGGCATGCAACAACAGCTTTACTCTAGTGGTGCGAGGACAACTACTCCTTTGCTTGAGTATCAACTTGATCCCCAGATTTTAGAAAGAGTGTTTGAATGCTATTTACATACTGTTAGTGTTTAACTACTGCTATTTCAGCAATGATGTTAGTATTTACATACTGGTATGTTTTAACTACTGCTATTTCAGCAATGATGTTAGCCCAGGCGTATGCTGCACTAGGATTTTTGAAAACAATCTCTGACATACTGAAGAGTGAATTTAGTGTATCATTAAAAGAAAATTATTACTGTTCTTTTGGGGAATTCTTCCCACCCACCCTGTTAAATTCAAAATCCTTGTGCCAAATTTAAAAAAGCCCCTTTTGTTTAGTACAACTTGAGAAAACAGCAAGTTTGTGTGTTTCAGATTATTTTTTTCTTAAACTGTGAAAAGTCTGAGCATTAGCTGATCCAGATTTGACTGGGTACTCACTCTGTCACACAGCTCTTCAAACGTGAAGTCTGCAATGGTTCCACACGCTTTATTCAGCCTCAGCTCTCTGCCTTGCACTTTTAGAATCCTTGGTCTAGTTACTATGGGAACATGAACAAAGACTCAATCTTCTCTGGATAATTACTATAAAATTCATCTCTTACAGATAGGAAATGCATAGCTTCATGAATAATAGCACATGATTCAACACATAAATTAGACAAAATGCTGATACAATGACTGCCACTTGAGTGTGGCATCAACCCATATACAGCAATGGAACTTATTAATTGGTCAGTGGAGATTGGGCATTGTGTTCTAAATGTATTCTCTTTCAAGAGAAATTAACTTACGTACAATCATTTTGTTTCTGAGCCAGCTCATCAAACAACTTATCCATGACAGCCTCCACATCAGCTTCACTTGTGCTACAGTGAAAAGAATAATAGAATATGAAATTAATAACACTTGAAGCCAACATCAAACAGCTGCCTGAGCCTGCTTAGCTTTTTGCCCATAAAAAAGAGAACAGGATGTTATGCTCTAAATACAAACATTAGATTTAGAATACACTTAAAAGTAGAGAATATTAACTCTCAGGTAGATGATTCTGCCTTATTTGCATACACTGAAAGACTTCTGTGTTTTGAGCTGTTTCCAGTAATGAGGCAATACAGGCAGAGCAGATCCATTAACACTATGTGTACACAATGAGAAAAAAGGCTTCTGGCTCTATCTTGCATGCAAAATAAGAGCAAATAGACAAGGCAAGGCAGTCAAGCACCTAAAGAAGTATCCTTTGAAATTTCTGAGAGGGGACTTTGTGAAATTAAATGTTGGAGCAGCTTTTTTTTTTTTTTTTTTTGGGGGGGGGGCGAATAAAGTCAACTGATTGTATTGATCAAACAATTTGCAAAATTAAACTATGAAATTCAAAAGACCAGCATGATCTCTGCATCAGTAATTTTACCAGTTTCCCCTCTCTGTCCCAAATCCCATTTAGGAAAAGATCAACCACAAATGGTGAAAACACAAAACACCTGTGCTGATGGCTGAATTAAAAAGTTTATATTCATCTTCTGGTTCCCATAAAAAGTATAAATCAGTCTGATCAGGGAATATCTTTTGTCACTGAATGGGCTAGAGGACCGATCTTTCTGTGGTTCATTCTTAATGATAGCTAGATGGATGGATAGATGGATGGATGGATGGAGAGATGCATGCTATGGTAGACAGTAAACTAGAACTAGGATGTGTAATGCTTCACTGAAGTTTGTATAACTGCCAAGAAAGTTTGTTTTGAAAATAGGCACCCGAGGCTGAGATCAAGGAAGTTGCTTCAATCAGGAATCTTGTAATTGTGTTACACTGATTGCTTTCAGATGAATATGAAACATCTTAAAGCAAACCTCAGTTGCATATTTTCAATGAAGACTACACAAACTATAAAAGCATCAAGAGGATTTTAAAAACTCCACAAAACTGTGATGATGAGACTGTGACCATTAATAGGAGAATGTAAACACGTTGCACAAGAACACTTTCTTTTGGGGGAAAGACTGCTAGCTAAACTTCAATAATCTGTGGCAAAATACTGTATAGTATGTAATTTTAAAACAAACAGAAAAATCCCCACATACTAAGCTAGTTCTGCAGGGTTGAAAGCTCCAGTTAACAAGTTTGAATAGAAGAATAAGATTCCTCAGAAAAAGAGAGGATGATGAAATAAGTACCTTATTTCCACTGGCAGCTACAGGAATTTTAAATACTTTTTTTTCCACTCCTTCTTACTGATTTACACAAGTTCTAGAGATAACCAACAATCACGAGAACACAAGGTAGACTTACCACAGATCTCTGCCATTCACTTGATCACAAGTTTTACAGCAGAACACCATGAAATAATCTGCCTGGGTACTAATCCTGTCGCTTCTCCTCATTTCTTCTCCTCAGAGAGCTGATGCCACAGGCACCATGTTTAGCCTACACCTGTTAGAAACCACATACATGCTCTTCCTTTCTTTAAAGTATGGACAGTGAGAAAGGAATGTGGAAGGTGCTCTCCACAATTACCGAACAGAAAGTCACACAGTGCAAGGGGCACAATAAGCAGAGCCGTAAGCAGGGACAGCTTTGTAGACAGCAGAACTAGAGTCACAATGAGCAGTGCTGAGATAAGTGGCAGCTTCAAACAGTACTTCTGAGCAGACACCACAAAACTTAAAGTGGAGCCAGGCAAGAATAGAGAACAAGAGTTACTTGATTCTCAAGTTCATACAGTCACACACAGAACCTGCACTGGACCTGGTTTTAATATATAAGATTCTGTCATTTCCTTCCAGAAGCACAAAGAGTTACCTGTTGTAATTCTGCTAAGCAGTACTCCTCCTTCCACACAAACGACTACAATTTCTAACTTTATTATAAAGTGGTATGTATGTACTTCGTTTCAAATACCTGTTGCACTGATGAAAATACCACACCTTTCTTAATGGAAACATGATTTTTAAATCAATCTTGTGTCTCGGGTTGAAAGATACAATAGTTATAAATCCCATTTTAAGCTACTGTTGTCCGCCTTGCTCAGGTTATCATTGATTTAAATAATACTTCAAGAGCAAATACAAGATTGAAAAATGTCTGCAATGCAAAGGTCTCAAAGTATTTAAAAAATAGAGGAAATGATGTTTCCATTAGGCAGATACATGCTGCAACCAGAAGCACAACTGTGAATGTATTTTTAAATTTATTTATTTACAAATATAGAATAAACTGCTAAAGAAATTTTGTCATGATGAACAGAAACAATCTGTCAAAATAGGACAGTGTTGGGTTTTTTAATCCATGGCACTGGAAACACCCAACATTAAATGAATCCTTGTCATTGGATTTCTATAAATACTTAATTACTTAAATACAATAAGGATGTTCTTCTATTATAGGAGAATTGTGCAATCTCTTACAAGAGGATATTCATTACTTTCTAACCATCTGTCACTTCAGTTCTCCAAACACCACACCTCCCCAAAAAATCTAATTAGTTTTTATTCAGTCAAACATTATAAATGATGCTAGTGTGGATACTGAAAGTGTAGTTTAATGAAGTTAATATCAAGGCATAATGGAAGGCAGTTTGCTGAACAAAATGGACCAGAAGGCAAAGAAAGGAAAAGTCACACCCTGCTAATTCTACTGTTTTTCATTTCCTATTGACTAGGAAATTATTAGCTAATAAGAAGGAAAAAGAAGGCAAATACCGTATCACAGATAAACTTACAGGTAGTAAAGTTTTCCAGCAGCAGGAAGCACTCGTTTCCTGTAGTCTATTCCAGAATCAAGCTGGACTGTGCTGCAGTACTTCTACAGAGGCAAAAAAAAGAGAATAGGTTTCCTCAAGCCAAAGCTGTATTTACTACTGTCTGTGGTAGAGAGAAGACACAGTGCTGTGGTAAACCATCAAAAACTGATTCCAGATCACAAAACTGAAGTCTCCTTTCCAATTATCAAAACAAAGAAATAAGGTGGAAATCATTCACATATCGAAAACAAAAAAAAGCCCATTTTCAGAAGTCCAGCAACTAGAAAATTAGTATCTTGGAAGCATGCAGAATGAAATGAGAACGGATATTACTCATTCTCTCAAGATAGTGCTTTGCTGAGGGACTGTGTAAAAATAATTATTTTCACATAAAAAATACACACTGAGAAAATTAGGAGCAACAAAAGTTTAAGAGACCACAATCCAATTCTAGCAACAGAGACAACTGAAACTACTTCTGTTTTATAAGCTAAAACTAATTTCATTTTATCCTTCTACTAAGATTAAAAAATTTTATGAGTCAAACATCAAATATATGAACCACACCAAGTCTTACTGCAAAATGGACCAAAATATAAAGGGGAATAAACAAAGCTCTATATCAAAAAGATTTTGTTTCATTTTTGTAATGTCTGAGTTGACTCAGAAAAGAACGTTCCACCAAATCCTCCCCCCTTTAAACAACCCGTAAGATTCCAAGTGTGATATAGATGCCCCTGAGTAGTCACAATAATTGCTTCTGTTAGAAAACTCAAAACCACCTGTACTAAAGGATGTTTTTTTGGGGTCAAGGCCTGAGGCTGAGAGCAAAATTCTCATTAATCTCAGTGGGATCAAGATTTTACACCCTCTGGCAAAGGGAACAGCTCTGCTTATCTCTTCTTGCTACTGCCATCATACACAACTTCTGGGTGTTATATAGCTAGAAGCAAAAGAAGCTATAAAAGAGAGGGAGAAAAGTTTTAATATGAGATACCTCTATCAACAATTTAATTCAAACAATAAAACTTTGGGGGTTTTTATGTAATTCAACACCATTAAAATTCTTTGGATTGCCAGAATCCACTAAATTACTCTGCTTCTTCACTATGAACTATTAGTTTATCTTTAATGCTCTCATTAAGTATTTCATATTCTGTGTGTCAAATTTTTCATAGCCTCCTTGAGGACATTCAAGTAACAAAATTGGAAATGTCAAATCTCATTTATAGCAACTACGTTGCAGGGAAAAAAATTAAAAACCTTAAATTTTAGAAGAACTATCATCAGTGATTTAAGGAACAATAGCCCTTTTGAACAAATACATTGCATAGGAGTTTTAGATTACAAATATCTGCAGGAGTGACTGTGATGACTCATTGCACTGTTTTTTTCCCTTGGCTATTATTGAAGACTCTATACCTATTTTAAACCTCCAACTTCTCTGCAAAGATATACAGCTGAAGAAAGAAAGTGGGAAAATAAAGTCATCCAAAAGCACAGAATCCCAGGAAAATCCATGTATCTTTAATTCCGGTAAGTGTAAAAGCCATGCTAATCAAATCATTATCTTGGGCTAAGGCTACTGCAAACATAATAGCATTGGTGCTACAATATTATTATAATCTATTCCCTTTCTTTTCGTGAAAGCTTACAAAGAAAGAGAATAACAGAGCAGAAGAAAAAAGTTCCAGAGGCATCTAATAATATGCACAAGGGAGGGAATGTTTAAGCTTTTCCTCAGCATCAGTCTGGCTGTCAAGGCTAGAAGGAAGATTCCTGAAATTTCACTGGTGTACTTTGCTTTTCTTTGCCAGGCATTGATGCTCAGCACTTTTCCAGCTGATGTTTTATTTTCCCCAAAGTAGTACATTACCTCAAGTACTATTTTCTTCATGTTGGAGGTGGGAATACAACACATTACCACTACAGCTATGTAGGCTATGAGATTATTTAGATACTCAGATGTTTAGTAGCTGTTTATAATTTTGGTTGTTTCGTTTTTCTCTTGGAAACAACAGGTAGGAAATTTTGCATAAATTCAGCCTCATCTCTTTGGCCTTCAAGATGGGTTTATAAACACTGCTTTTCTCTCAGGCTGTTGATTGCATTTAGTGTGACAAGTGAACACAGAGCTACATATACTTAAGAGTGTGGCATGGTCATGGTAGGGCTGAGATTAAAAACAAGTGCACCTGAACACTGTAGCCAGTGTAAATCTACTGTGCTGATACTTACAGTGGTACTTGTGGCTCAGCTGCTAATGACTGCTGAGTCGAGCAGACACCCACAGACCGATACTGGGCTACATTATGCAAGTCACTGCGGCTTGCTGAAATACAAATCAGCACTTGGTGATACAGTGTTTTAGGGTATTTGTGTTCTGCTTACAAACTCATCACTCCTTAAATGCACTGACAGTCTTTATGACTCCATAATATAACATTACAGCAAATGAGGTTTGGAGGCAAGGACTACAGATGTAAATACTACCAATATAGCTATGAAGTACTTGCGTTTCTTCTGCCTTCCTTCCCTTTTCTATTTCTTCAAAGTAATTAATATTACTGCTGTTCAGAAAAAATCACTATCATTAATGGACACTAGTGAAGAAGAGTTTGTGTGCTCAAAAGCTTATTTATGTTTTGGGTCCCTTTTTAAGCTACAAACAGTTGCCTAAATGAATGATATTTCTTTTTCCTATAAACCTTGTCTTCTAGGTCTACAATAATGTACCACTATTGATTCTAATGTGATAAAACATTACACAGTTTACTTTTAAAATATCTGTTGGGTATTCTGGGCTGTAAGACCTTTCAGCAAGAAAGGCAATAGCAGCATCCTGTTCCGAGGTATATAAAATGCAGTTATTACAGTCCTACTGACTTTCTGCTTCTTTAGGAGGTGAAAGTTAACTGAACCAAACATAAACAAAATGGAAAGCTAGAATTCTGATAGACAGAAGTTTTCTGTGATACACTATACATGCATAGAAGTAGAGGCCAGGAATAGAGAGGAATTAACAGGAATGGAGAGCTACTTAGGCCTTTGGAAAACATTTGGCATTTTACTATCCTGCTCCTTGGGTGATTAATTTCTGAGTTTAATTTAGGTCAGAGGGTGGGGTGGGATGTTTCTTTGGCTTAACTCTGTCCTATCTTTCAAATACAGTTGTCTCATATTTTTCAAACCAGCATACTCCAAACTCTGGTTTGTATTTTACTTCAAACGTCTAGCATATTTTTCATCCATTACTGTCTCAAGAACCAATAAGCTGGATCTCAAAGCCAGTTTCTCCCCCTTCCCCTTTGTTTTTTTGCCTCTTGAGGCTGATCCTCAGTTCAGGAAGGTGCTCCAGCCATTTAGAGCCCATAAAAATAAACCAGCCACAACAATTTCCTAACTCTTCTACATGTTCATGTGAGTATCTACCAGTGTTTGCCATTAATTATTTTTACATGAGACACCTCAAAGGTCACTCACACCTATTCTGTTCAGCACTGCATAAATATATATATAAAACGGACAGCCCTGCCATTAAAACAAAACATTACAATCTGTGTAGCAACATGCTCCCAGAAAACATTCCTTCAAAACATGATTTTGTCAGATTATAAGCTTTGTAGGGTAGGAACAACCTTCTCCTTATGTGAATATATGATAGAGTACACATCTATAGGTGCTACTGGAAAATAAAGTAACAAAAAAAACCCTCAAACAGAAATGTGAGTAAAGAGACCAACCATTAAACATGGAAATAATACCAACAAACTGGCATACAAACACGCACTGGTGTGGGCAATGCTATTTACACAAACTGAGCTCTACACAGTGCAGAAGAGAAAGGGTATCGCAGGCAATAACAGCATTTCTCCTCCAACTTAAGAATGTACCGGTGGAGATGGTTCTAAAGGGGGATTCAGCACACGGTCACCTTTACTCAAAGCCAGAGTCAGAAAGGTCACAGAGAAGCTATGCGCTGAGCAGAGATCCAAAAGCTTTTCCTTCTGGGGTTTCCTTTGTTGACAAGGGTACCCACCACAGTTCTTTGTTTCTACACACATGAACATTCACTTACTCACTTCACAGGAATGCAGAGGGCAAAATGTTCATATTTGTAAATAATTTTTTTCAAGATAAATGCTTTAAATATTAAAAAGACAGCATATAATCAGAATGTATAATAGAAGAAAATAAAGCACACCAACATATTGCATACATCCAAGCTAAACTCTTAAACTAGATTTACAAAAATGAAAACCAGATACATGGTTGCACGGTATGGAAAAAACAAATACTGCTCACAACTGGAAGAATGAAATACTGAGCATCAGAGAGGGTGTGTATGTGACCATGCATCTTCCCACCGCTTCACAGATGTCAATGTTTGTATACTCCTGCATCATAGAACTAGAAAATCAATACTATCATTTTCAAACCCTGCAAGTTCGGGGAAGGGCAGGCTTCTTTTTACTCTTCATCTTTCTACAGCATGGGAAAAAGCCCTACTAAGATTACACGTAGGAATTCTAGTTCCTCTCTCCATCTGTGGACTAACTTCTCCAGCACTGAACTGATTAAACCCTACAGATGTGATTGCATCCTCACACTAATCACCACCACGGAATCCTAATCAACAGCAAAAGAACTAACTGGAGTGCTGAGATTGTTAGTACTTAATTGTCAAAGCCACAACTGTAACTATTGGTTTCCGTTTCTTAAGATGGAATTTTAAACTTTCAAATACCATTTACTTGGGCTATACTTCTCCTTTTCTTTTGAAATTAATACTTAAAATTGAAGCTACAGTTAGTGGAGTCTGTTCTGTGGAACCATCTACAGTTTCCAACAGATTTTCTATTCTATTGAGATATTTCAAGTCTGACTTAGCCTATTCAATTCAAATGCATAAAATTAATTAGTCATACAATTTATTTTGAAGTCATTTATGTATTTATGTATACAAAGAACAAATACAATTACGGAATTGAAAACGCAATTAGTAAGTTAAAAATACGGCATGATCATGTGCTCATTTCCACTGAAGTGGCATAAAAACTTTTTATTCCAGAAGGAAAAAAGACAAAGCCTCAAGGCTCAACTCGACACAGAGCACCTAAAACAAAAACCTCCTTCAGACAGAGTAGATAAAATTAAACTCTCAGTTTCCTACCTACAGTAGAAAGTTATTAAATATAGACCAATATACACTTCTGTTGTGTAAGCCCCTCTAATATTCCTTTGTTGCTGCAATCAAGAATGGTAGCTATTAAAATGTTTAGCTGCTCAAGAAATTAGAGACGACAGGTTAGATCATTAAGTAGAGGAACAGAGGTTTCAGGAAATTTCAAAAGGCACTCAAGGTTAACTGGATAACCTGCAATTTCTCAAGATGTGTGTTTCCCATGTGTCACAAAACCCCCTGAAATGCTAATAAATGGCCTGTTAGTCCACATTAAACACTGTGCTAAATACCATCTGTCCCTGTAAGCTCAAATATTATGATCAACTCGTGACCCTTGGTAATGCAGGTGAATAGATCATTTCTTAACCTTATTGAAGACCATTGTAAGTCAACCCAATTGTCATTCTCTGCTCCAAATTTTAATGGCATTCAAAAAAGAAAACCAAAACTCATGCAAATCATCAGGTCAGCCCACAGGATCAGACAAACCCTACCTGATCACCTCCAGAGAAGGTGTAGGGGAAGAGAGATGGGAGGATACACCTTGGTATGATCGTTACCTTAATTCCCACACCTGCTGAGTTTCCTCAGCCCTTCACACTCAGGCCAAACCAGACACCTGCAAATGCAGCTGTAGCACTGCATCTGTGGTACCAAATACACTTTCCATACAAGTAAAAATAGTCTTATCCCCAGGCATGCAAAACTGCACAATTAATACTCTTGGCCTCTGGTGTAGTTCTTAATGAGCATATTAGAACACCTACTATTAATAACCAAATCACGCCTGACTGAGAAGTGCAACTTCGAACCACTCTTCCTGAGCAAAAGGAATCATCATTTCCATGCAGGTATCATCTTCCCTTTTCAAATACATCCTCAGCATGTAACTCTTTGTATTAGCACATAACCAAACAAAATCACACACCCCCCACTAAATATCACCCCACACTTGTCCTGCTGTTTTGGCCTCCATTAATAGGACACAGGATCAATAAAATCTAAAAATAATGAACTTGTTCATTGGCAATCACCCTTCTCATACATTTACATCCAGCCTAAGAGAAAAATTCTCTTGCATCACACAACATGTAGGCAGGTGACAAGAGCCCTCCACCAGCAACATGGGGAGAGTTCCTCAGGTAAACAGAAGTCACTAAATTTAACAATTTTTACTTTTCATTATTTGACTCCATGTAGCGTTAGGTTATCAATTCTATTTCTTCTTCCTAAAATTCTTTCTTAAGGAAGTTCAAGAAAAGGTTTCTCCACCCAGAGGATACCACTGCAATTGGAATTTTCCCAAATGATTCATAACTGTGGTAGACATAAGACTCCTCTCAAGCAAAAATGCAGTGTGCCATGAAAAATTATTTCTGACCTACAAAGCATACCACAGGTTTTAATTTTGCTGTACTCTTGAAGTCATCAGCACATCTCAGAATGTGAAACTGGTTGAACCGGGCCTCATGAGCTGGGCAGCTCTGTCCACAGCCCGCTGAGAGAAGCATACAAAGCACAGCGTCTCCTCTCTGTTGCAGCTGTAAAAGGAGATCAACCAGACCATTAGCCATGAGTAAGCATGGTACAGGTGCAGGACCTGCGAAGAGCTGCTCCTTTGATCCACTCTTAAAATTGGACTTGTTTAAAAAAATTGTAAGTAGATGAAGTTTGTAAAAGTCCTAACTTTCTGCTACACAGATCCATGGGAGTAAGATGTACTCAGGAGGAGGGAGAAGGAGGAAGGGAATCATCAGGTATTTCATGGTGAATAAAAACTTGGTCCAAGCCTTGCTGGATGTGCATACAGTTTTTGTCTCCCTGTTCAGATGTTGTTGAAACAGTAGACTTTAAAGAAAATGTCAATGAATCCTCATAAGCACTATACATGACCTCTGGGGTAATTAGCAATCATTCAAAAGCAACAAGACTAAAATGTTCTATTCTTTATTACTGTCAGCTCTTGTCTTGATCAGCATTTTAATAAAGATGGTTCATTGCTAAGACAGTTTCATGAATCAGTCATAATTACATTCTGACACGCAGTGAATAGTAAAGCAAAACTAAATATCGCTTCATCAACCTTTCTAACCTTTATGCAAGTATTAAGTGTAAATAATTTTTACACTATCTTACAACAGAAAATCTGCATATTTCTTAGCTTTGTACATACTCTACTCTAACTGAATTTCTTGTGACCTGTACCTGAAAAAAACCAACAAAAAACCCTTACAATCAGGCATAATTATTTAGTCTTACATGATATTCAGGTGTTGCCTTTCACAGATCAAATCAACTTCAAGTACAAAAGGCTGTCTGTTCTGCAAAACAGTGCAATGCTTTAAGGGGTTAACTAAATTTTTCTACAGTCTTTCCCCCTGTATTCTTCGGCAATAAGGGAACATGGGAAATTGCTACAATAGCCTTAGACACCTCATGCTAGTTCCAATTGTAAACATTGTAACAAAACAAACCCCAAAACCCCACACAAACAAATTTTGAAGAAAAGCTTTCAAAATGTCATCCAAGAATCCTGTACAATATCAGTGAAATAAATCATGTTCAGATAACTTTGGATGGCAAACATTTTATTTGTGAATTCTTTGGAAGTGGACCTAGAGCACAAAGATCTGGGAAGTGAACTACTGCCAAATATATTTTTTTTTAATTAGTCTTTTTCTTACACTTGTGACAAGAACATTTAAAGTGAAGAGTTAGAGGTAAAATTCATTCAATGGAAGTTGCACAAGTTTACACTGCAGCCTTCAAAACTTTAATGACTAAGAACCCCCACTATTCTTGCTACCACAAGGAACATACGATCTATTGTACAACTTTTCAATAACTTATTTTAATGTCTAGCTACAAATCAGCTACCCCCTAAGAAGAGGAAAAATAGACAATTAACTTGTAAAATAATGGTGCATGAATAAAGACAGAGACTCTTAAAATGTACTGTTGTGTGAATAGTATTTCAGATCTCCAGGCAAAAGTGAAAGAATTCAGGAGGTACAGATGTGGCTGTGCTGGGTAGGAGACAAGCAGGCTCTCCTTTCTCCGGTCAGGGAGCAGAAGAACGGCACAGTCAACTTTTATGCAATAAGAATTACACCGAACAGTTCTCCCCGTTTGACATCCCTCAGGAAAAATTCTGCCTTGCAAAGTAATAATAAAAAACCAAGCAAGCAAACCAAAACCAACACACAAACCACTGCGTAACATTCAGTTTTGCTAAAGAACCCATACAACTGTAACTTTCAGTCTCCTCATAAACAAGCTGTGGTGTTCTGGGAAAAACAAATGCCAAGAGTTCACCCTGAATTTTTAACATGGTGTTTCGTAAGCTAAGGGTCAAATAGACCCCGAATACATGCACTGCGTTGGAATTATACCCTGGACGAAGTTATTTGTCTAGATTCCTTTTTAGCTGTTGTTTTTCTTTTTAACATTTGATTTGTATTTCTTCCCCCAGTATTAGCCTTTGCTCCTGCCAGAACTGTTGGCAGGCAGGGGGGAAAAAAAAAAGTAGTATTGATTTACAAAACTGGATTTCCCAGAATGAAAAAAAATTCGATTAAGATCTAAACAAAGGCTAAAGATGGCTTACGCTTAGCTCTGATGAGGTCCACTGCCTCATTACCAACTTCTGATGCATTTTGTTTCAAGGGAATCCAAAAGTCCTTGCTGTAAAGCAGGCTGGGGGTGCAGGGTCCATTCACTCTTTCTGTATCACAACCATTATGTAAGAAGTATAAAACACTGCCTTTATGCTGCCAAACCACAATGACTCTTCTTACATCAAAGCGGTTTCACCACTAGGGTTTTTTTTCTCTGAAATTTATTCAAGCCAAGGGCAGGGAGACAACAATTCATACACACTAATTACACCTAATTATCTATTCCTTCCCCCCCCCCCCCCTTTTCCACCAGCTTCGGCCAGTGCTATTTGCTATCTGGGTTTCTCACAACCTCCCCTTGCCCTGTCCATCCAACTCAACAGTAAAGTCTTTGAAGAAAAGAGTTGTGGCTTTTTAGAATTTTAACAATATAAGGTTCAACTCAAATTAAATTATTCTATTATTAGTTTTGACACATTTATGTGTTAAATATGAAGGCCTCTTGGTTAATTTGGCAAATTCCTCACATCTCTTCGTGGATAGAATTGCTGGAAACACCCCCTCTTGTAGGAGCTTCTTCTCATGCTTTCTTTTCATGATCTAAATGAAATGTTTATTGGATTAAAGTTCTTCTCTGCAGACCTCCACGGTGGCCTGTGACAAAGAGCTTAAAAGCTTTATTAATTGGCTCAGGCTTTGGGGGGGGAGGCAGGACCTCATTTCGCATTACATCACAAGCAAATAAAACTGCCACGTGTAATTAGACTAATTTACCCTGATACAGCAGGAAACTACAATATGCTTTGATTTATTCATTTTAATCAAGGAGTAACCAAACCAAGCACGAACTCAGGAAATCCTAACAATCAAAAGCAGTGAGAAGGCAGGGAGCCCAACACTGAGCAACTATTTTACCCTACAATAAAGTTTTGATCTGCACCTAAATAAATTGTCTAGAAGCAAGCACATGCAAGACAGACATAGAAGGTAGGCAAACCAAACAGCTTAAAATCTAGTGAATGCACTAAGGCAATAGGTACATTATAAAATATTAACAGTTAAGTGCTCTAAACTACAGAATTCAAATAACCCTTGGGTTTAAATTTAACACACACACACACACACAGGCTTAGAAGGCTGAATGCAGAAAGCACTGGTAGCTTCTAATCTGACACCTTGCTTTCTGTATACAACATTTTGTTAGTTGACACTCACAAATTTGTCAAACTGAAATTACCCAGAAATTATACTGATGTTTAGCAAAAAATACTTGCAATCATGCTGTATTTTTTATTTTTACTTTTTCTGTGTTTAATTAGGTACACTTCACAAAAGATGAGTACTTCTATTACTTGCAGAGAGAGAGAACAAGAACAAACGCTCCTTCTACTTAGGAGTTTGCTTGGTTACATACTAAGAAGGGAAACAAAAGGCCCAACATCTTCAGTAATGAAAAAGTCAATTGATAGGCAAAGCCATCACAATATCAAAGGCCTAATCCCTGCAATTCTGACTCAGGTGACAGTTCACAGGGGTCAGAGTGGCTGACACTGACCTCAAAAGCAGGTTTTAACTATTCAACATACTGAAAGCTGCTGGACTATCACACCATTAGACTGGAACAAACTGACAAATCAATTTCATCAAGGAGATGACTTTTTTGGGGGGGAGGAGTGAGAAGGGGGGGAAAGAGGCAGATCCGCCAATCAACAAATCCCTGCATTTCTCACACAGGTGGTTGGACAAAAGCTGACTGCACCATCAAAGACATTTTATATCTACCAAATGCCTTTGTACAAACTAACTCCCACAATTTCCCTCGGGACAGCTGTAAATGATTTAAACAAGTATTTTTCACATATTTGAACTAAGTTATTGAAAAGTGAAAATATTTTTAAATTCCTCCATTTCTTGCTTTGTAAGAAAGGGTATATTTTAATTAAAACCAGAGCAGGCAACAATGGCAATAAATTATCACTAGTCTATTTTGAGAAATACAGTGAACAATAGAGTGTATAAAAATACACTGCTTTCTATTTGAGATGAGTGTACAATGCTTATGGTTAAGAGTCTTTTTAACTGAATAGTTTTAAAATAAATAATGACTTGGTCTCTAACAGCAGAAGAAAAAAAAAGTTCACTACAGAAAGCTTACAGTAATCTCATGTCCTACTGACAACAGGGTTTTGGTTGATTGTATGCAAAATGCAGTCAGTCAAAGCCAAACATTTTATTTTAGAACTGTACCTTTAAAAGGTATACTCAGGATATGAAAAGCTCTAAAACTTCCCAGCCTTTGATTAGAATTTAGTGCAATGCAGGTTTACTGCAAGAAAACCTGACAAAATGTGGAAGTTACATATTTAGCATTTTGACTCAGCTTGATGTTTTAAAACTTCATGCTAAGGTTCTAGGAAATCTTTGGAAACTCAAGAACCACTCATTTAAGCTATAGACTCTACACAACAAACAGTTTAAGGAGCTTGCCCAGAGAATGAAGCATTGGAACTAGCCACTGAATTAGAATCAGGATTCCAGAACAGTCAATGGTAGACGTCTTCATTAAATATCTGCATAAACTAAAATGTGCCAAAATTAGTGCAAACCAGTAAATTAAAGTGTGCTTTCTCTCTCTCTCTTTTTTTTTTTTTTTTTTTTTTTTTTTTTTTTTTTTTTTAAGAGCCTCACCTCAGTTATTACATCAAGTTGTTAAAAATGAGTGAGATGTGCGGACGTGTTGATCTGCTGGAGGGTAGGAAGGCTCTACAGAGGGATCTACGCAGGCTGGATCAATGGGCTGTGGCCAATAGTATGAGGTTCAACAAGGCAAAGGGCTGGGTCCTGCACCTGGGTCACAACAACCCCATGAAATGCTACAGGCTTGGGACAGAGCGGCTGGAAAGCTGCTTGGCAGAAAAGGACCTGCGCAGTGCTGACTGATGGCTGCTGAACATGACCCAGTGTGTGCCCAGGCTGCCAAGAAAGCCAACAGCCTCCTGACCTGTATCAGAAATAGCATAGCCAGCAGGGCCAGGGAAGTTATTGTACCTTTGTACTCAGCACTGGTGAGGCCACACCTCAAATCCTGTGTTCAGCTCTGGGCCCCTCGCTACAAGAGAGATATTGAGCTGCTGGAGCACATCCAGAGAAGAGCAACGAAGCTGGTGAAGGGTCTAGAGCACAAGTCCTCTGAAGAACAGGTGAGGGAACTGGGGTTTAGTCTGGAGAAAAGGTGGCTTAAGGGGGACCTGAAAGGAGGTTGTAGTGAGGAGGAGGCTTTTCTCTTCTCCCAAGTAACAAGTGATAGGACTAGAGGAAATGGCCTCAAGTTGTGCCAGAGGAGATTTAGACTGGATATTAGGAAACATTTCTTTACCAAAAGGGTTGTTAAGCACTGGAACAGGCTGCCCAGGGCAGTGCTGGAGTCACCATCCCTGGAGGGATTTAAGACATGTAGATGTGACACTTAAGGACATGGTTTCGTGGTGCACTTGCCAGTGCTAGGTTAATGATTGGACTCAGTGATCTTAAAGTTCTTTCCAACCTAGATGATTCTATGATTCCATAATTCTAAGAAACATAGCTTTATTTGTAAACCAGTTTTAAAACGTTTAGAAAATGTTTATATTTCTTATTGGTTTAGATCAACAATTTTTGAATATTTCTGCTCTGAGCACTTGAACAAAGTAACAGTGAGCAGTGACTGGGTTTTGGGTTTGGGTTTTTTTTGTGGGTTTTTTTTTTTTTTTTTAAAGAACTGCCTTTATTAAATAAAAAAAAATAAAAAGAATCACTTAGGAGTTCCATGCACTTTATAATGCTCAGTAAGAAATCCTACAAGATTAAAAGCGCAATCAGAAAGGACTGAATCTAATTGCAATTATGGAATTAAAAGATTTTCCTCCCTAATACTTATCTCTGTAAAGCTCTATCTTTGTAAAATTTCATGAACTGAAGAAGCACTCTTATCTGTTGCAGAAACTAAGCCCTCCTATAAAGAATTCCCAAAGAATTTTATCCACAACAATGAACTGACAATTGAGAGCTTTTTCCTGCTTACGAAAACTACCCCCTTAAGTTACAGAATCAAGGAATCACTAAAAAATTAGACCTCACACTATTTAGGATTTCAAAAGATCAGAACACTGGGATAGGTTCAGAATTGGGCAGGGGACAGACATTGGGCAGGAAATGTTGCCAGTAGTCTTACAGGCCTGCCCAGCTACACAAACCTGAAGCTCTTCTGTGGCTACCAGCTGGAGGATGCTTTTCATGGCCCTAAAAAGTGGAATTTATCAATTGCACCTCCCACTGCAGGCATTCAGCGACCACTTGTCCGCAGTAATCTACCACCTAGAAAACCAATACAGACAAACTTTGCAAGGTAACTGTATTTTCCATAGAGCACTGTTTCACTTTTTGCTTATTTAACAGAAATTGGTTTGTAGTTGTCTTTGTAAGAAATAAGAACCCAAATACAGAGACTGGAATTATATTGTCTGAATAAAATCAACAACAAAATTCAGGATGAACATGGATAACTCTAAATCTAGGAAATAAACCATTTCTTTACATCATTTGAAGACAGGGGAAGTTTTTTATATAGCAGTTACCAGGGTATCTGGTAACTATGCATTCCATGTATGAGGAATGGAAACAGCCTGAAATCTATTTCAAGTGGAGCATCTCGTCACAGAAATGTACTGTAAATACTTTCCATTCAGCCCATGTTTCCAAGAATTTTAAAGGAATTTAAAGCTCCTGTGCTGAACTTGAACTACTTTTAGCCCTAAAGCCTTATTTTAAGACTTATGACCATAGAAGTTAATTTCCCAAACAAACAAACAAAACCAATCCACTCATTCACCCCCGCTAAACACTGAACAAAAGCCCTGCAGGAGGATCTGAGCCCAGAGAAAACTAAGACAGGAGTAGTCCAAGTTGTCAAAGCCACTGTCAGGGAACAGGTTAGATGAGACTGGCACTACCACAGACACACACGGCTTGGAGTGAGCTAAAGGCAGAGAAGACACTAAGTGGACTCCAGGAAGATTGCTCAGAACTGCTACTTGTTGAACACTATGTGAAACCTCACAAATACCCATTCAGAAAACCACTTACACATGACAAAGACCCAGAAACAAGGTAATTGAGGGGTAAAAACCAAGCACTACTTTCTTTACACCAACAGAACACCAGGTTTTGTAGCATAATAAATGTAAGATGTCCACAAGTACAACGCAGTGTTAACTGTTAGAGGAATACTGTATTACACGGCATATGCACACCAGTAAGAAAGTCTTGTCCAAACGTATTCTGCTACCTTAGTCAAAAAGGTAACTTTCTGTCATACTAAAACCGTCCAGCTTTCAAAACATGTTAATTCTAGAGAGAAAGAATTCTTTTTGCCTTACCTTAAATTATTTTCATCCCAAACAGTTAAAGCATATGCACCTTATCTGGAAACTAGTATCAAAGCAATCCTGTACAAAACTCTAATTTATTAATACAGGAGGCAAAATTGAAAAGCATTTAACAAGTGACTCTCCTTACCTTCAGCACAGCAATGAATGGTACAAAATTAGCCCTCTGAAGACCATTTTTATAGAGATCTGAAAGAAAGGAAATCAGTGCCATTTTGCTACTTACTCTTAATAACAATGTCAGCTTGTCTTTCAGTCTGGCAAATAAAACTCAGTGTTGCTAGAGAGAGAAGGAACAAAAGGCAGAACAGGAGAGCTGAATTTGATATCTTTTTTTTGCTGTATGAAAATTCAGTACATTCTTAAGGAAGAATGGAACATCCTGAGAAAAAGGCAGCAAATGAAAGATGACTTAAGTCTCTATTGACAAATAACTGATTTTAGCAAAAAAATAAGACTGGCATCTGTTTTAAAGAAGGACATAAAAAAGATTTGTAATGCTGCGTATACATAGGTATGATTATAAGGTCAAAACTATGCAACTGCTAAGTCCCAAGTGTTTGGCAGAGGGGAAAAACCCAATGTCAACTAAAAATACACTATTTGAGTTTCCAAAGTTTGCATCATTCTTATTCAGTGTATTCTAGTACACTCTATCTTCTAGCAATTCTGCCAGGCACACCTCATTTTCCGAAGTGAGAAAAAGGGTCATCTCTAAGGCCAAAAAAAAAATCAAAAGAAAATTAAATTAATATGTAAACTTATGCAAAGTTACTAAAGATAACAATGAATTAAAAAATATATTATATTACATAACAAAATGCAGATCCACACTCAAAGAAAATACAAATTAATAAAAACAAACCACAAAGCAGCATTTTATAGAGTATACACTTCTTCTCTGGAAACTATCCAACTGCCCAACAGGTTCATAACAGAACAGCTTCTTTGAAAATGTTATCACTTCAAAGCTATGATGGGTTGCTCTGTTTCATTGGTATTAGGAAGCCTTATAAGAAGGCAATACAGCACCTATGACTGACTGAAGGAATAAATAAAAGAATAAAGGCACTCAGCTGAGACGTCACCAAAATTCCCCACAAAGACAACACCAGGTTATTAATACCAGCTATATTCCCTGTACTGCCTAAAGGCTACAACTAGGCTAAAGTTTTTATGCTCTACCAATACTTCATGGTGGACAGAAGACACAGGATGCATGAGAAACCAACAAGACACCTACAAAATGGTTTTCACAAAACTAGATATGCACACAGAAACATTTAGGAAAATTATCAGTGAAGGTGATTCCACACCCTAATTACTAACAAAATTGCATGAAGCCATGTATTATTCTCATTCATAATTCTGCACATCATGATAGCTATACATTTGTTTAAAAACCAATCAATTGCATATTTGCTTGCAAAAATCACTGAACATGTAACAGCACGGCAAGACAGCTACTTCTGTTAGTTCTTCTAGAAAATAAGGCTGTTTTGTACTATGTCTCTGTTTTGTAAGGATGAGAAAAACAAGCAGTAATTTCAGTGAAGAAATGAAGCCAGGATTCAACAAACACTGCACCTCAGTATTTCCCCTCATATTCCCTTGGGGAGGAAGTTTAATACGGTTAAGTGTATCACTAATGGTCAGCAGCTGGGTACATCAGCTCTCTAATGAAAAAGCCACAGTTCCCCTTTGTATCCACACGAAACAAATTAATTCAGTCTTAAACCTTGATGCAGCACACTACACTAACCCAACTCTCCTTCCTGCAGTAGGATTTCAGACACACACAGTGAGCATGTAGGAGTAGTGAGAAGAAAATAAGAGACAGGCATTGACCAACATCTGAACTGCAACATAGGTTAGTTGTGGAGACACCATTCTTGACATCCTCTGTTGGGTAGCTAGTACAAGTGGATGTCTTTCAGGTTGACACAGTGACTTAATACGTATTAAAAAACCCCCCAACCCTGTATGATGATAATGGTCACAGACTGACATCTCAGTTCAGTAAGTGAGATACAAACCCCAAGTTAAGATAAAAAAAATCTCCCCTGAACTTTAAAGAGTAGTGCTTCAAAAAACAAGGATGGCTCTGAACTGAGTACGGCACCAGCATCCAGTTTATCTGTAGTTAACTCAACTACAGTAGTTATGATTTCATCTTGTTTGCTTAAACAAGGAAATTAAACCAATGAGGAATTACTTCCTCCTCTAGTAAAAACATGAGCGTTTTCTTCTCTCTCTCTCAGGCAAGAGTGCATTGTAAATCTAACTATTCTCTTACTCAATTTGGATAGAAAAATTAACTGGTAGTTACAGTTAATACTGCAACTCTTCAGTATTTTTTGCAAACATTTGAAATTAATCAATCTAAAGTGTTGCAAAAGTTGCCCAGAAATCATACTACTCTATAGCAAACCCTTTTCTCCTATACAAAAAAATACAACTACTGCTTGGTTAAAAACCATACAGATTTCGGGACTTTGGAGAAGGATCTACCCAGCTAGTTACCCTCTATCTAAAAATATAGTTAGCAATGGAAACAACTCTCCACCTAAGTAATTCCCAGTGAGCGATCTCAAACGAGGCTGGGAGTGTGACCTCTTGATAAAGGGTTCTCCTTTAAGCTGGTGGATCAAGTCTGCGAGTTTCCGAGTTGGAAACGAGGAAAGAACGTACTTCTCATTTACCCTGTCTTTTGCAGAATATGATCTTTTCCTGTCCTGGAATACATTCAAAACAGAGGCAATATTTCACTCCTCCTCAACTCCCCTGTCCCCAAATACCCTTCCTCTGGTTTGGGTAAAGAAGATCAGAAAACACAGAAGGATTTGGGGGCACCTGGGAGGGGGGAACACCTTGAGTTGGAGAGAAGGGAGGAATATCACTTAGTGAAAAACCTTTCTTCCTTAAGAACACGAAAAAACGGGACAAATTGGAATATCTTAGATTCTTGCAGACCAGAGAGTTTATTAGTATTAAACACTGTATTGACTTCAATACAATTGTTTTGCAAGTTACTGAGATTCACTGTATTTGGATAATACTAGTAGCATGTTTGTTTTACCTTCTGGAGGCCTGTTAGATGTTGCCACAACGACAACCCCATTTTGGAACAGATTTTCAAAAAGCTGCTTCAGAATCATGGCATCAGCAATGTCAGTGACCTGTAGAAGACAACACATTTGTTTTATCTTGCTTTCAGCTTCTGCCGCAAATAGATCTGCAAGTGGCTTTGTAGCTAGGAAAAATGCTTGTTAGTGAAAGCCATGGAGAAAGATTCTAATTATTGCTTGGTGAGAAAAAATAAAAGGGATAATTAATAAGCAGTGAATGTACCACAGTCTTTCAAAACTTGCCTGCTCTTTATTGCAGAACTCCACCATTTCTTTACCAATTGCTAAATGATTCCATGTTAACTTCTATTATAAAACTACAGGTGGGAGACAGAGAAATCAGACCTAAACATTTAAGAGGCCTAATTAATAAGAAACAACATGAAACAAAAACGGAATACAGAAAGAAAATACACACCGGCTGTTTTACATTTCTATTACCTTTGAGGCAAAGGTTTGCAGAGGTGAATTTAAATGGTCATGGGACTTCAGAAATAAAGACAAGTAGCCAACTATACATAATCAGCTGCTGTTGAAAATAGAATGATATGACATAGATACTATTGTGTGATTGTTGCAAAAAACAATTCAACAGATGGCCCATCACAAAAATAAGCAATTTCATTGTTCTTTTTAAGTGCCTTCTATTACTGTCCATGAATAATCAAAAGGCAGGCAGTCACTTCCAGCACAGTCAGCCTCTTCTAACCTTCAGGCACAAAACAAGAAGAAGAAAAAAAAAAAAAAAAAAAAAGGCGGAACACGAGGAGGGAAAAAATAAGCCAAAAGTAAAATTTCTTTAAGTATCTAAGTTTAGCTTAAAGAACTTGCTTTATGGTACCAAGAAATAAAAAGAGACAGAAAGCACTCTGTAAAAAAAAAATTTGTCACTGAAAATCCCATTGTTACAACAGCAACTTGTATTTTACAGGAGTTCCCCAGTGGAGATCAGCAAACTTAAGTAAGCCATTTCTACTATTGTTACACTTGTTTCTTCTGCATTCTCCCTGATTATTATCTAGACACTTGTTGAATTTTGACTTACCAAAACAGACCCCAGTTCTGAGGAGATAAAACAGTGGTGGCATGCCGAGAGCTATATGCACTCATTGCCCAGCAGACTGATAGGCTGCTATGCTTTCTGCAGTTTACATGTGTATGTTGTGATAGTAATACACCTACTAACCAGTGTTATTCTTTTTCCCCTACTCCACCACCAACCCACCCCCTATCATTCCCCACTGCTAAATGACCTCTCTGGCCAGCAAAAAAAATTAATTCATTCTACACTAAAGACAGTAAAAGATTTAGGTTACATTTGACGGCCAGTTTGGAAGCAATCAGGTTCACAAGGAACCATATGTAAACATCAGCTCATGCAATGATTTCTTCCAATTTGTTCCATGCAATACATTAATATGGATTATTTTTTCTTTTTTTCAAAACCAAACTTTTACACAATCAGTAACATACCCCTCAGATTTGCATATCAGTGATCACTAAGATCCAATATTCCAAAAAGCGTGTAGTAGTTCACTATTATAGTATACATCTAACACATCTGCTTATAATTTATTTCTTCTGAATACTAAAATTAAGGAACTTTCCCAGTTCCTAAAAAACAAGACACATAGGGAATCAATATACATATGCATTTTAGGGGTAACTGGATTTCTTGTATCACAAAGCAAAGGTAATAACCAAGTCTTAAAAGTGCATTCTGTAAGCCATTTTGTTCCAAACTTTTTTGTTTAAAAATCCTGTAGGGCATGCTACGCTCAGAAAATAGGGAGGGAAAGATTATTAGTCCTCACATAAAAGAAAAGCATTAATAACATTCTCTTATTAACTAGAACCGTAATTTGATGTGGAATTCTGATGTTTTCAACTTCATTAAAAAAAAAACAAAACCCCAAACCTCTCCAAAGTTCTGTCAAAAAGCAAGAGCCATTTTCAGACCCAGGATGCAAATATGAGCTCTTGTTTCTAATACAGCTTGGGAAAGAGAAAATTTCTACAAAGTAAAGCAGGTAGAAGACAGTTACTACAGCATTGTCATTTCTCATGTTTTTCACTGTATCCAGCATTCATTGCAAAAGAGAACAAAAGCAGAGCTACAAATTACCAATAAAGAGAGCCTGCTAATGCAGAGAATGAAGAAATTTCATTAGCATTTAAGAGAAAAGATTTTTACGACCTAGTGCTGCTTTCCATTATGACTCATGTTAAAAAAAAAAAAAAAGATTAAAAAAAGAAAAACCCACTAGACTAATAGTTAATTTACATGTGTAAGTGTCTGAGACTCAGTCAGCCACTGATTGGTACAGTTCCACGTAATGAATGACAAACATAAGCATGTATTACAAGCAATTAGTATTAGCACAAAAATAAGAGACTAATTTTTATTAGAGGCTTTTAATAGCATACAGGTTAGTAAAAACTCCCTAAATCGTAGTTTGCTTTAAGTATTGATGGTATATAAAGACTAAGACTGTATATCATTCAGCTTACCAAGAAGCAGGGATTCTGTTTTCGTTATCAATAAAACGAACACAGGTTAGAGTCACACACTGAAATTGGAGCTTCTAATTATCTGTGTATAGTTATTTGATTGCTAAGCAATAACTAGGCTCTTCTCATGGCCAACCTCTGTATTCTGAAAAATCAAAGTTAGAATTAAAAATGGCTTAAATTCTATGGATTTTTCTACAAAACAAGTACAGATTTTTAGAATGGTATAAGACTTGTGATTTAAAAAATACTTTCATATTGGCAATAAACCGTATGACAAAGATCAGTAATAAGCAGCAATCCTTTAATAACCTGACAGCCTGTGGGTTAGGCAAATGCTGACAAAATACCTGCTTCAGAATGGACACACTCAGAAGCTTAGTGCCATCAGAGAGTATTTGCAGAAAGAAACACTTTAGAAATAGTTGGGTGAGGTTTTAATGCAGTATTTTGGAGCACAAAAAACTACTTTTAAAAGTACCAAAATATTTTTCTATGGCAATTCATCAACATTCCTCTAGACTTTGCAAGAAGATTCACTTCAGAGTACTTCTGTTTAGCTTTAGCCCACTGTCAAAGAGGAATGTGCAGCCTCAGCAATGCTTTTGTCTTTTGAAGTTCTGCATTCTGTTTCCTCTGAAATACGAACATTAACAATACTTTTTGCTGTCCCTGTTACAGTATCACTCATCCATGTGCCTGATCTTAAGATAAACAAACAAATAAATGTTTTCAGCTCATTGTCCTTTTTTTTTCCCTTCCAGTTATTGCAAAGCAACCTGAAGGGTTTAAAGCAAATCTCAATCATTTTCTGATGTTTCCTCTACACCAGTATTTTGTCGAAGTCATAGAGACCCAACTTGATCTCCCGTCTGTCAAAACAGACAGTAGCTTAGTCTGCAAGTTAGAGCTGTGTATGTTTCGAGTCTCCAGTTCCTTACAGTTTTCTTTTAATCTAACTCTTTAATGCTGAGTACTGAATATTGCGGTGAAACCTAGCCATTACCTCCACTGGGGAAATGAGCTGCAAACATCTGAATCGGATATGGTTCCTTATTAACAATGTAAATTGTGTCACCATGTAAGCTGGTTTTCCAGTCACTGCACTACCTTATGGCTATTTAAGCAGAAAGTTTCCCAGAAAGCAGAAAGAATCCCAAATTCAGTGCCTTCTGCAAAATTTCAGTAAGCTGGGACACCTCTTCAGCAGGCAAAGCCTGCATAGCATTCCGTGCTACAGAAAACCAGTCAAGAAATCTAGCTGTTCAGAAATCTGTGAATTTAGGACATTACACCCAGAACAAGTAGCTTTTAAAAATTCACATAAGAATACAAAGTCTAAGATACACATTTTAGAGTACAGTTCTTTCCCAGCTACGACACATGAGAAAAAACAGGTAATTTTTACAACTGAAGTGATTGATGTACCTCAAGCAAGTCAGCAGAGGGAGCAGGCAATCAATTTGGAATCACAAAATACCAGACTCTGTTCCCCTTAAAACGTGGAAACATGACAGTCTGGAAACACAGCAACACCAGGGTAGGAAAGCAGTGGGCATTTATACGTAAAACCATGTACCTACACTAACACATGGTACAGCAAAGATGCCTCTACCTACCACATGAATATATGATATCATGACAATTAACACTCCTCCCTGTCCTCTCCAACCTTCCCATTTCTTTGTAGTGTAAATGCAACGGTCTCTGTAGTTAGATTTTATACTGCAAGTTTTGGAAACCCAGCATTCATATTCACTAGATAAAGTGCAATTTAAATGATCAAGCAGCTCCTCACATTCTGAAACCTTAGATCAAAGAACTACCCCTTGTTGAAAACTGCAGAAGTAACTTGAAACAATAACACCTACTTCTTTACAGCTATAAAAATCCCCCTCATTGGAGCTGATCATAAAACGGTCATTTTCTCAGGTGCACAGGCTTGTAAAATAATAGCTAGCAGATATAAATTGCTCTGCCCATTTCAGGAATGTATTAATTTAAGAGCATAACACAGACAACTCACAGTTGGTGATTTAAGAACTAACACAGATCTGGTTTTACGTTGCTCTGCATTTTCTCTCTGCATTAAAAAAAATCTCAGCTGATGAGAGATACCAAATACCTCTTTAACCTCTCTTCTAAAAATCTTACAAAGCAATTTATACACTTAAATTTGTGACATGCCCTTAAAACAAAATTCACAAGCTGTGCAAAACAAATGAAGAAACAAGTTAGCGTGGGCAAAGGTCATCTTATGAGTTTATTTTTAATCTTCACATATAATTCAATAAAAGTTTCTTATGATGTTAGTTATGTTTATATAATCTGGCACTGCCACGCCAAAGGCTCCAATAAATCTAGGAAAGAATTTAGGTTGAATTTGATGTGTTATTTCCACGTCCTTAATCACACTGAGACAATTTTGTTGCATTATATGAAGTACAGCGAAGACCAGACATGCCAAACAAGTATCAGGCAGCTACTTTCCTGGGCATTATACAGGCTTAGTACAGGATGATAGTCCCTGTCCTGAAGCAGTCATAAGCCTCTCACCAAACTCTAATATCCACTTGTATGACCAGTAACTAGACTGGTGAAAGAAAGCAGTATAAGGGCACTATACCACCAACTTACATCTTATCTCCTGGGAAAGAAAAACCAAAACAAAACAAACCCCCCAAAAACAAACCACCACAATCTTCAAGACTGTGAAGTAACTTCTACAGTTCACTACTGGCCAGTGATTCAAATACCATACTAGCAGTAACAAGTGCCATATTTTAAGATCAAAAGTAATTTTATGAAGTTTCCCTTGAAATGAAGCAATAATCTCGTATTTTTTACCTGAAATTCATCAAAACATAAGAGAGCAGCCTCTTCACTTATTTCCTCTGCTACTGGTGCAATTGGGTCATATGACTTGGCCATAAATCCTGCCTTTCTTTTTGGCAAGCTCTGCTTAAGGCGATGTATTCCTGAGTTAATGAAACAGACAAGTATTTCTTATTTCATTTTCTAAGATAGGGAGACTAGATAGCTACCAAATAAAAAGTAACCTACACCAGTAAAACCAGGAAAGCTTCAAATTTAGTCCAATTTCAAGAGAGGAAAACAGTTTTCAATGACATCCAGGCAACTATTAGAAGCTCACATAATTCTGTGATTCATATTTTCTTGTTTAGAAAAATGTAAAACAAAAATCCTTTCATGCTATACTTTATCTTTTAAAAACTGATATAAATTACAGTTTTATCTTGCCCCAATTCATGACCTTAGTTTCAGTTTCACTTTGTAATTTGGCATTTTCTGTATTAATTTTCTCTCAGTGAAAAACCCTTACAGTGTTTACAAATCAGTGGCACAGCTCTGTGCATTGCATGCCCTGAAGGTATACTTAGAATGCATTTAGTTAAAAAACCTCAGACACAGCAACACAGTTATATCTTAAAATGTAAAGATGATAATATTGGCACAAAGTAAGATTATTGCATCCATACTTTACTGTCTCATGGATTGTATGCCATCTGACTATAAAAAAAACATTTTGAAAACAAAGATCCTGCAGTAAGAAGCTACCTTTGTTAAGATTAAGCATAAATGAGAATAGAAACAGAAAACCTCAACAGTAACCCAAAAATGATATCAGTGGGCACTAAACATGGCAGAAGTTGTTTACACGTCCCAAGAAAAATGTAACTGTTGCAACAGCTCTAAATTACAGCATTATTTAACAATTTCACAGCATTTTAAGGTCATAAAATTTAGATAAAGAGCCAAATTTTAAAATATCTATACCAGTATCTCAGTCAAAATGAAGTGCCTTATTTGCCTTGTCAGAAAAAATTTCTGAAACTGAAGATAAACTTCCTTCTATTATTTTTTTCTTCTAAATTACAGATGATAGTATTAAGTTTGCCAATCAGAACAGCTCTCATTCACCTGGGCATTTACACCTGATTTTAGTTATTGCTTATTCAAAATGCTGATTGAATTTAACCTTTACTGTTTCAGTTTTAGCAATTGCCTTCTCTGGATTGCATGTAAGATAACTGGTAACTGGAAAACTTTTAATTAAGGATTTAATCCTAAATATACACCCAAGTTTTCTATACAGTCAAGTATAAAGAAATCTTTAAGAAAAGATACTTGAGAAATAATACGCAATTAGTATCTACTCTGATGTAACAGAATGTGCTAAAATCCTTCAACTTCTTTTATTTTTTACTTTTTTTGCTTAAATACTTAAAGTTACGATGATTAATGTGAATATGAGAATGAGACAGACTTTTTTATAAATATTGTATTTCATAAAATTCTTATAAATACCTGTGTCAGCACTTACTCTGATGCACATCTAGCATGAAGCCATGAAAATGGACTCTCTTTTTCTTTTCTACTTCTAAGTGAGAATAGAACATGTCCATCACCATTGTCTTTCCTGTGCCTTCACATAAAAAACAATCAAAAAAAAAAAAAAAAAAACCCCAACAGGTAGTTAATTTAAGAACAGTATGTACTGATTACAATAATGACTGTTCATTAGCTTTGAACTAATGAAACTATACTCTTCCACAGAACAAAGTACAAACCCAGACTGTTTGTGAAGAACAGTTATATTTTCTGTTCAAAACCTTGGAACAACTGCATTTTTATTTTTCCATTTTAAAACTTTGATCCATAAAGAGATGGACCAAAGTTTGCACGAATGGCTCCATACACATCTAGGAAACACCTTTAGTATTTCCTTCTGAAAAGCCAGTATGTTTTCATGCTGCACTGTTACACATAGAATATATAAATTCTTTCCATGGCCCCCTCAAATACTAGTAAAGCTGAAAAAATATACACATGGTAAGGCAGTCGAATCCAGCAGTTTATAGCATCAGAGTGTAACTATATTAAATAACGTCATAATGTGGAAGAAAACTAATCCTGGAAAATTCATTAAAGCAATAATGCTACATAAGCATAAAGCTTTTAGACACTTCAGAATTTGAATAAACATGCATTTTGAAAAAATTCTATTGGAACTGATGCAACTGAAACTTACCAACATCTCCATAGACATAAAGACCTTTTGGAGGGGTGTTTTTTGCAAAGAACTGCAAATCAAGAAGAAAAAGAATAAATATGAACATGCCATAAAGTAAAAGCAAGGACATTGCTGTGGTACAAAAAGAAGCTACACTTAACTATCAAAGTAGCACTGGCTAGCAAAGTGTAAACTTGAATAAACCTTTATCTCAGAATTGGTAAGCAATCTTAACACTGTATTTGAGCAATGTTTGGGTTGGGCTGGGTTTTTTTGTTTAGGTCATTATGAAAATACCCCCATCCCCACTCCTAGCATATATGCCTTTTTATCACAACACATATGAAAAGATTAAATGTTTCCAATCCATCCATCAATCATTGAAACAAATCCTTTTCCTCATTAAGCCATTTGAACAGTCAGCCCTAGGAAAAAGGATATAAAATCAAGCAGTATTGTAGTATTCCTAGATATACACACTATAGAGTTATTAAAGCAGCTCTTCTTAAGATATAAATCACTAAGAATTAGAAAATCAGTACTGCAAAGCCAGTGAGCATTGTAGGTCCCTTTTCTCTCCACGCTGAATCTTAAATGCAGAATCATCTCTAGTTTAAACATGATTAAAATCAATGAAGTCACAGTAAAAATACGTACCTATTAATTTTATTAATTTTTTTTGAGTGAGTTATGTTTATCTTGAATGAATACTGCTGAAGAATTTTTAGTCTCTTAATAATTACTCACGACATATGACACCTGTTGGCTTACTCTATTTTATTCAAACTTGTATTTTTATGGCAAAACTTGAAATAACATCAAGACTTTCAATTTGAAACAGTCCACCCCCACTCCAGTACTGTGCATAGCAACTTCCAAGTATAATTCTAAAAAGAAACAGCCTCTAAAAACTAGAAATCTTACCAAAATTCTCATCAAATCCATGAAAGTGAATTGTTATCCACAAAAAACACTGCAGAAGACTATGTGGTTATTTTAAAGTGCTCCACTTTCAGAGTTCTATGAGGTGAGCCAAAACAGAGGAAAATTAAAATTGCAGCCCTGTGGTCTCATTTGGAGCTGGGTAATTGCTAAACAACTTGAATCTAAAGCACTTTTCAAAATACAGTGCCATGTTATAGAAATGGAAGAGTCAGTAGCAAAACACGAATTAAACGTGAAAGAAAATATATGATCAAAGATAGAAAGATAGTGTCTCAGGTATTTAATACCAGTTTATTCAGAAAACATGTAAGCATAGCGCTTATATAAGACCCACTTATAGATTTAATTTAGAGCTATATTAATTGGATCATCAAAAATTTGTGTCATCAATCTGTGGCTGAACAGGGTTTCAGAATGTCTGAAAACATTCCATTAATAGACAAGGCTGCAACTATTTGCTAGTGCTCCAAAAGCACTGCGAGACAATTTAATTGACAAACATTTTTCAGTGTATACTTTTTAAGAGCTTGTCCTCATCAAAACTACTGATGCTCAAAGTTACTTGGAGAAGAAAAGAAAAACAGAAAAAAAAAAAATCAAAATGAGACATTCGTAAGCATTTGTTTTTAATTTGAGATTAACAACAATCATTGTAACAAGACTACCACATTAAAGGTATTACCTAAAAAGACTGTATATTAATGTGATTTGCAGTTTCACAAGGAATGACACAGAGCTGGAAAAATAAATCAATGTTTAGATGAGTGCTTTACCTCTCTTTGTACAAGTTACATAACCAGAACAATTACTAATGCCTCCATTTTTATACTATTTTATTCGTTGCAAAGTGTTTATTAATTACATTTAACCATCTCAAAATTTGTCTTTTTATGCATATTTTATTACTCCATTTCTAGAAAAGATGCTACAGAAAAAGAAGGATTTTTTGGCTAAAGGAAACACTTATAATGTCTTGAGCTCCATAAAAATCTAAACCAACTTCTAGCTGATTTAATAAATCGAATTTTTTTTTTTTTGTGAAGACAACAACTTTTGAGAGCTATCTATTGGTAAAAATAAATGGATACTGTGGCAGACCCAAATATATTTGCTGAAGCTGATCATCTCTAAACGCAAATCAAATGCCACAAAAATTCTTATCCTCTTTGAGCAATTAAAGAAGTTTGTAGGAAATATTTTATGTGTACTTCTGTCATAAGCGACACCACTGACACCTCTAGGTACCCATTTCCTCAATCCTGTCAGGTATCATATAACACTAAGAATTTATTTTTATATTCTTGGGTTAGTTTTCTTAACAAATATTTTATTTTAAAAAGTAAACTCCATCAGTAGATTTTTAATACAGAAACTCAGACATCCTACCAGTGTCAAGCTATTCTGCATCATCATAACATGTATTATTTCTTATTATTTATTTTTTAATTATTCTCATGCATCTTTTGAAGCCCTAAAGTTGCATAAGAAAAAGTGCAACTTCCACTAGGATTTCTGATAAAAATACAAACAATGCTGTTGGTTCAAGTTAGAGTTGGTTCAAGTAGTCAAAAAAGTCAGTGATATGTGAGAGTGAAAAAAGCAGACGACTGATCTTGGTTTCATTGAAACACACTCTCCAAAAGAAGAAACCGGGGGGAGATCTAACACAGAAGATCCTCTAGTTACCCTAAAATAAGGCCAAACTTATTTATTTCAGAGAGGGAAGGGAGGAAAGTGGGAGATGTAGGAAGACAAACTAAATAAATGAGCTCCTCCTTGCTCCTCACTTCCATGTTATCCTGAGGTGTATTTGGGGTCTCAGTATAACAATGTTCAATTGGTTGACAATAAATTTGTTTTTGCAACACTGATAAGATTTAAAGATGCTAAAGCTAATACTTAAAATGTACAAAAGATATTAAGGGATGTGCAAAAATTCAGTTTGAAGGGGAAAATTTTGAAATCCTTAGATGTGTATTTTGAATGGTCACCGTATCCTTTCAAATGGGGGCATCACCACACGTGTCAAATCCCTTGAGCCCTCCAAGTTTCTTAATTCCCGTGACATTTTTGCAGTAACTTCAGACCGCATAAATTAAGTGCTTCACCAAGTTTCATCATCATCAGGACATGCAACATAGAGCAGGAGCCCTTTCCTTTTACAGATCAGTTGACCTGCACACTTTTCTTTGAAAATCATTCATGTGCTAAAATATTTACAGTTCCACAAGTTGATACACACACGAGTGTCCCCACATTTACAGAATTCCCTCCTCTACTATCAAAATGTTTTTACACACTTCTGTTTCAAAACTGCATGTCTATTGCATCGGAGCTTTCTTTTTTGTTTAAACTGCACTTTAGTCAATCAATATCCCACCTCATCTAAGGAATTACATTGGTCAAAACATCTCCTTCATTCTGACAACTTCCTATTCTTTCTTAAGTATCTTTAACAATGTGCAACGTCTTCCCACCTTCTCTCATGCTCATTACCTCAGACACCAGAAGCAAGCAACTAATTTCCTGGGAACATTTACACTTTGATTTGAAAAACTTCCAATTAAAAACGCACATCAATACTAAGATGGTTAATTAAAATATGCAAAATTCAAGACAAGAGCCTCCAAACAGCAGATTTTTATTTTTTAAACTAACAAAACTGCCTCTTTCTCCCACTTTTCAGGCCTCCTTTTTGCTTGCTGTTGTAGCTGAAGACATTTTCAAGGTCTTGAATGGTGTTTACTATTCTTCATACTTCTTTGAATATATGACTTCACTTTTAATTGAGCTTATTTCAAGTCATTAGTACAGCAACTCAACAACTCTTAAGATGTCTCAATTGGTATTATTTTGAAAAGCTAGAGATCTGCAATGACTATGCAAATTCTTACAGCCTTGAACTTCAATTCAGAGGATCTCAAAATATCTCAACATACAAGGCCATGCTTTCACCACACTCAAGATCAAAGTCACTGTTCAAATTTGAGTAATTTTGAAAACAGAAGCCTACTTGCTTTGCAGCAAGACTGGTTTTTTTTTCTACTCAAGTTTATCCTATGCTGATGCCCCAAAAAACCAACATCATCAAAAAATACAGAGTTTTATTAACATAAAGGAAATGGCTTGTGTGGTGTCATCCCTGTCATATCCTGTTCCGTCCTACCCCTTCCACCGCAGACTATTGATTACAGAAAGCTTTGCCCTGTGAGGTAATGCAAGTCTCTTAGACAAACACTGTTTCTATTTTACCTGATATAAGTATTTGTTCCCTAATCCTACTTCTACCGTATTTTTAATGAATAAAACGATTTAGATAAAAAGTGACAAATGAAGAACAAAACTAAAACCAAAGCAGACCATTCTTGTCATGGTTCAGAAGTACAGTAAGTTTCTGTTTCTGGAATAACTGTTATTTAGGAAGAGGCTTCTGCAAATGTATCATAAAAGAAACCGGGCAATAAAATAAGGAATATCAGACTACAAAAGAGGCTTCTTTCCCTCTTTTTTTCCCCTTTTCTTCACTGCAACTTCTCAAACACATTCTTTTCAGTAGCAGAGCCAGGAAAATAAGCCTGCTTGAAATGCCGACCACCACTATTTTTTTATTTCTAAAAAGCTGCCAGTAGATTCTTTTCAATGCAGATTTCATATTTAAATTAGGTTAGCCAAGCTGCTAGAAACCTCCTGAAAAAAGCAAAAAGTCAATCTACAGATTACTGTGTGTAACTCATTGAAGTGTTTGACTTATTTCCAAAAAGTCCTTAACTAATTTACATCAGTTTAATTTACAGCTATTAAAACTCAGTAAGTACAAAATGTTAAGCAAAACCAATGTTAATCGTATTACCATAAAAACAATTGAACATCTATAGCATAAGGTTTATCTTTTACTTCCTAGCATATTCAACCTACCTTAATGGAAGAAGAGTGACAACACTGTTCACTAATACAGGATTTGCCTGCTCCCTGTATCATTAGTACCTCCTGGAGATGCATTACTAATTACAGGAACTCCTTCCACTCACAAGCCTACACAAATCCTGTTCAACCCAGGCTAGTTGCAGACCCACCACCTCTTCTTGCCACAAAAACCCTTTAGTTCTAATATTCGAAACTGAACCA